TTGTACGTGATATTCGAATTATCTTTGTATTTATATCAATTGAAATCGATGTAATACAACGTTAGTTTTGCACGATTTCGATATTTGAGGCTAATCTCGGGAAAAGAAGTAAGAGACTTCTGTATCTTTCCATTCTGAAATAGGACACGCGTCCGTTAAACCATCCCCTGGGAGAACTACTGCAATCTGAGACGTGACCCTCTAAAACTGACATTTCTCCAGACCACTTTAAAACATCCATTCCACATTGTATTGTATTTTTAAGAGTTAAGAATTTCTGTCATGGGGAATATATCATGAAAAATATTTGGAATATCAGATACGTATCTTATCGTAGCATGCTAATTTATTATACTTCATTTATATTCAATTCTAATCGTGAAATGAAATGGTTGCAAAAAATTGCACAAACTTGAAACGATATTAAAAATATTGTATTACGATAAAATAACACATAAAAGAACAGTTAATATTTTCAGGAAAGTATTCTTTTTTTTTTTTAAATCGACTCGATTATTAAAATTTATTTCCTTGCTTCGAAATGTGTTTATAAAAATAAGCAAATAATGCGAACAAAACGTGCATGCGAATATAAATAAAACGTGCTAAAAAAAAAATCACGTAACTATGAATAAAATGTATTACAAAACCTTGTAACTGTATATCGTGTAAAAAAAATATCGTGCAAAAATCCACCAAATGAAAATAACTTTACTAAATCAAACATCGTAAAAAAAAAAAACAAAGAAAGGAATTATTTCTCCATTTCCTCTCCATGTTATTTCCGTCTCCATAATTACAATCATTACCAATCACCAAAAAAAAAAAAAACCTAAACAGACCCAATTTTATTTCTTGATCTTCGCAATTTCCGTCTCCATTAATTATCAACAAACTCACGAACCAACGCTGCCAAGCAAAAATGAAAATCGCGTTCCTCCGATATCGTCGAAATATCCCCTTTATCCCCCTTTATTCCTTCCGTACAATTTCCATTTCCATAATTATTACAACGATCAACAAATTTATCACAAGCCATCTCGATCTTCGCGCGGTCGTGATCTCACACACGTTCACGAATCGTGATGGAAGAAACAATTAAAGCTATTTACATTCGCGAAACATAGGCGAGAAAGAATGACAGGTTGAGATGATGATGTATCCATTGGACATGGACGGTGGTTCGAGAACGAGGCGCGACGGAACAACGTTAATCAGGCCGAGTAAACAGCTGGCGCTGATTGTGGCGCACACGTATGTGGGAAATAGGCGGCGGCACACAAAGCGCGAGGAATCTAGGAGAGTGGTGGGCCATCGATCGTCCCAAAAGCTGGTGTTATTCGGCCAGGAGGAAAGTGCTCGTTCAAGACCGCAAACCGTGCCCAGGGACCCTTGCCGCGGACAACGAATCACGCGTCGAGGGTAAACTCAACCCTCCGAATTCAGGTAAAATCGATCGCCGCCGTTACCTTAACCCCTTGTTTCAATTATTTCGCATTGATCGGTCGCCACACGCGAACCTTCAACTTAGGGTAGACCGATGCCGAGCTTCATTCTTTTGACCCGATTCTGAGCCTTCCCTTTTTTTTTATAAATTCGTTGAACGAATTTGTTGAGTCAAGGAAGAGAGCTTTTCTCGAAACGATTTTCTTTAAACGATTAAGAATAGTTAAAATGATCGATCGAAGTGAAATGGTGCGATTTTGAAATTCGTTGTTATTCGATTCTTCTTTAAAATTTATTCGCAAATGAAATTACGATTGATATGACGATTTAGCTATGTAATTTATATATATACATATATAATGTACAACGTTACAATTTTGTAGGGAACATGGTAGATCAAAGTTTTGTAAGAATCTATTTACGTAAAAGTTAATTTTAATTTTTAACTTTTTTTTTTTCAGAATCATGGTTAAAGGATGTACGTGTAAAGTAAGTAGTGTGTAACATGAAATATATACACGAGTTTGTATAAGCAAATTAAAAGTCGAAGGAAAAGGATCGGTATTTTTGTTTCGCAAGATACACAGTTGAAATCTTCTTTCTCACCGTGCTTATTCACGTTCTCAAGTTAAGGGAAACTTCCTTAAATTCAATTCGAAACATCTCAAAGCAAATCCTCCTTGGTAATTCTAGTGAAAAGTACCAAAGTACGGGGCAGATACCTGTAACCGTGGCTTCGATTCATCTCGAATAAACTGAAAAGCCCCCACACCCTTGACCCTTGGAAGGCGTTCGTTAATATCGAATTATTTCCCCCTCCCTCCCTCCTCCTTAAATAAAGAAACTTTATCAAATTTAATTGCGGATACTTTGCTCTCGACCTTTGAGCGATTTAAAAAAAGAAAAGAGGGAAAAGAAGGAAGAAAGAGAGAGAGAGAGAGAGAGAAAAATACGAAGAATCTCCTCTTATATAGCACTGTCGAGGCCTTAATAAATTGCGAAGACTTCTCCAACGGTATTTACCTTCCCACTAATCCCTCGAACGTTGTCACTTCTTAAAGGATCTCAGGGAAATCTCTTAAATGCTTTAAATGGCTGCAAAGAGAGGGCGGAATAAGGAAGTTATCGGCTTAAGGCGAGTAGCGAGCGAACGACAGCCAACAGGCGAATAAAACCGATAGAGCTGACCACACCGCTGCCATTTCCCTCACCATTTTCGTCGATTGCCTTTTTTCTTTTCTCTCTTCTTTTTTTTTTTTTTTATTATCGCGACATCGAGATAGAGTTTGTTTTTCTTCGTGAATTTCAATTTCAACATTCTCCCCCGTCCCTTCTCTATTCAACTTTCGAAATAGAGGGAGGGAGAGTACACGGCTGTCCGAATTTTCGTTACAACGCAAACGTTTAAACTTCTCGATATTCGGAACGTGAATTGAGAATTTCAATTCACGTCGAGAAGTCGATGAAGTCGATGTTCCTATTTTCCACCATTTATTTTATTATTATAATATATTTTAATTCAAGTGGAATAAAGGTTGGAATTGTCGTTTTCTTTTTTCTTTTTTTTTTTTTTTGGGTAAATATTTTACACGTTTGACTGTTCAAAAGTTGGAAAAGTTAAATTTTGTTCGAGTGAATGGTATTATTATTATTATTATTATATTATTATTATTACCAATTAATGTTACCGTTACTTTATCATCGCGCTCATTAACATCCCTCCCTTTGTTATCCGTTTGGCCGTGAAATATCGATAGTTGGCAGGAACGGGGAGAATTTTAAAAAGGACGTTCTATTCGGAATAGTGGTGCCTCATTTTGAGATCAAAGATATGCCAGACAATAGAGAACTACTGTACATGTACTGGATGGGTCATTTGAAGTGTATTGCTTGATGGGATAGCTTTGTTGCGTATTCAGAAAAATAAAGAAATACCTGGACTCTTAATGAGTCCCTTTGAATAAAGAATATAGAGAATGATTAAATTCAAAATCCATTATTCGCTCAAGAAGGAATATTATCTTGTAAATCTTTTGTATAAATTTTATACGAATTATTCATTGACGAGCAACAAGAATTTTGTATTATTTTATACAAAGAACATACATCATTTATGACGTACAAATCGTAAAGATATCAGAAAAATTAAAGAAAGAACGAACGATTAAGAAATAAAAATAAGGGAGTAACAATATTAATATTACTTAGAAGAAGTAAAAGGAAATTATCAAAAATCATAATAGATGCAATAGTTAATTTGCGCAGAAGAAGAAATATTCAACTCTAATGAATTGTACAGTCGAGCATTTAAAATCGATGGCGATTGGAGGTCGTTTCAATTAGAAAGGCAATAAACCAACAGATGTAGAAATTAGGGAATTCGGTGTAATGGATTATCGAGCTAGGTCTGGAATAATGTTCGTTTTTATCGGTTGATGGAGGCTAGGCGTGGCTCCCTCACGATCCTCATTAATCTTTCACGCGTAGCTTCTTCGATTCTATATTATACAAAATCTTATTGCGAACGAAACATCGTTCTATACACAAGAATATTCTGTCTTCTGAATGAACAACTCGTTATAACGTGTGATATGTTTTAGATAATAGACGAATTACTTTCAATGAGATTGATTTGTAAGAATTCATAACTAAAGCTTCAATAAAACAAACGAAATCCTACAGAAATAGTACAAAAACGAGCTACCACACCTAGAAGAGTAATAATGAAAAGAGTGACAATACAATATGAAACTGGAGGATTAAAATTGGAGTTAAAAATAGGTAAGAATAATTTAAAATTTCTGCATCTTCTTGTAATTAACTTAACAATCATTATCTCACCATTACCAAGGGGAAAATCTCTTCTCCAAAGAGGCGTCCAGATAATATTGAGTGAATTTTGAGCAAGAGCACCGTCAAATAATGCGGTCGTCCGTAGGATTTGCGTTTGAGTTTCACGAGAGGCGCGACAAGAGACGGAGAAAGAGGCGTCCAGGTACAGTTTCCAACCTGGTTGTTTTTCAGCCTTGCATTTCCATACCGTCTGCAGGAGGCCTGTATGGAAATTCGACGCGGCGGGCACGCCTTCCGCGTACCAATATTGAGTTCGAACGAATACTGATGGCCGCATGCATTATCCTTCAATGGATAAAGAGGAGTACAAGGAAACGAGGACGTTGAAGCTGTCTAGCGCTGATCTGCCGCGACGATTAATACGATTAAAGTTTACCTGTTTGCTAGAAAATTCGAAGCCGAATTTTCTCGAGAAGGTGAGATTCTATTTTCGAATTTGTTCGTTTGTTCTCTTTAAGGAATTAGAGGAGGAATAAGGGAACGAAAAAGATTTTTAAACGTTTTCAGAATTAGAATTCTCAGGTGTAAGTTGTATATTTATATCATTATTTTTGCACGCAATAGACGTAGAATTCAAGCAATATATAAATATTTAAATTCTTATATCATAATTCGTAGAAAAGATTTTTCTTTCACGATCTCTAAAAAAATTTGAAATCTCGAGAAGATTAAAAGAGCAATATTATATGGTAGTATTCTTTTTTTTTTTTTTAAAAATTATTTACCAAAATAAAACCAAGTAAAATCATAAAAATCCGTTGACAGAGAGGAACAAACGAGACTTCATAAGTCATTCAAAACGCAATTTCCCTTGATGTAACGCAATTTCCAATAGTAATTTATCATGCAAATGGCGATATACACGCGTCCCAGCTTGTTTTCAAGTCTAAACAATCGTGTTTCATCGATTCGCGATAAACGTCTACGCGTTGCAAGATGAATGCATCTGTTTTTATCGAGAGAGGGTATAGAGTGGCGATGAAAACAAATTGTTACACGCTTTTCCTCACGGGAAGAAAATCTATTGACAGTGGTGTATCGTTTATCTGTGTATTCTCAACGAGGCGAGACAAGAAGAGATGAGAGAGAGAGAGAGAGAATGGAGAAATTTTTGAGATAAATTGTGATCGACTGCTGCCATTCCCGTTTATTCCCGCCTCATTTTTTGCTCTTTCCTCTTCCATTTTCTCTCTTTTTCTTTCTTTCTTTTTTTTCTTTTTTTTTTTTTTTTTCGTTTTTTCATCGAAAACAGCGTTATGGTAAACATCGAGAGGATGAGAAAGTTAATTTCTCGTTTGCACGGGGAAAAATGAAATACAAAATGGAACCGCTTCGAAGCCAACTATTACAACTCGACGAAAAGGTAATCATCACGTTAATCGTACAGAGGGGAAACAAATAGCTGAAGGCAGTTTTGGCAATTTTTTTTTTGTTGTTGTTGTTGCATTTTTACGCGTACAGTTACACGACAGAACGTGCGTATTAAAAAAAAAAAAAAAAAAAAAAGGAAAAAAAGAAAAAAATTGATGATACGAGATACACGGGAAATATCGTTCAAATTTAATACTTTATATTCTTTTCCTCTCTTCTATTTTAATTACAAATTTTTTGACCTATCTCCCTTTTTACTCTTTCGCTTTTCCCTCTTCAAACAAGCTTTGCAGATTCAAAAGTGATACGCGTTACACGTTCTTTGCAAATGTAGATATAAATCCAATATGTACATGACTTTCTTGTTTCAAAATGTAATATGCGATATATATATATACATCAGATTCTTCGTGATATTTTGTGTTATAGATTTCTTTTGTGTGTTTTGTTTCATATTTTTTATTTGCGTACAGTTTTGCAGTTTCGCGTATATTTTCTTTTATCAAGAATTTCAGATGTATTTTCGTGAAATTTATTCAAACATGTATCTCTGCTTGATCCTTCCTATATTCAAAATCGTAACAATAGAAACACGTTTCGAAAACAGTGGCAATTTTACTAAATTAAAAAGTTTATATAAATATATATAAAAATAAAAATTTCTTTAAGACGAAATTATTCACGGATAAGTCGGAAATTTTGCAATTTTGTCATGAATGAAACTTTCACATCATTCTTAACGTAAAAGATGAATAATATTATAACATTCTCGTATCCTGAAACGCTACAATTTCCAAAGATTCAATGAATATATAGTCTTTTATTTGAAATTTATAATAAAATTTATAATAAAAATTGATGAGTTTTTGTTTTTTAAAATATTTCAAATTTTCAAAAATAATTTACTCGTTCAATGAATTCTGTGACACGCAGATTAAATAAAAATATCATAGAATTGCTTTAGATAAATGTAGCATTGAGCAGTTTCGAGTTCTCATTGGAGAAATAATTTTTCTTACAAAACTTTTAGTTATTATCCATATATGCTTATAACACAAAACGTTATAATTACAGATGCTTTTCATAAATCATTCTCAGCTCCGTGAAGGATCAGAATGATAGGTCGTGCACAAAGATCCTCGTGCGGAGTGGAAGTTTCGCACAATGGCCGACGAATGTCTAAAAAGCGGACTGTTAATGGTCAAAGGAGCTCCGGTGGTCGGAAAGGGTTGGTCTCGAGGACGTTTTCATCGGTCTGCCGGCGCATAGGCACGCCAACAAAAGTCGAAAAGGTGAGTGGAAGATTCCCTTCTCCGCGCTCTGTTCCCAGGTCTCTTCCTCCCCCTCCTTTTTTTCCTTCCGGTTCCTACGTTGCTCTCTTCCGAGGGATTTCCCTCTTCCGAACCGAGTCTCGCTGCGCTACGAGTCTCGCTCAACCGAACTGCAATGGAATTTGCTTAAGGGTTGAGAAGAGGAAGCGGAGGAGTAAGGAAAAAAAGAGTGGAAACGTCGGAAGAGTGGATACGGTGGAAACTGAAAGGGAGAAGTAGAAGTGGGTGCAAGGTAAAATAATGAGCGATTAAGAGGGGAAAGCATGGAGAAGAAGCATTGCGATTGCGTAGAGAGGATGTAGGATGTATCTGGTAGGAATGGAATGAAATATCGTCGATTTGAATAAAATCGATGGACCAGATTCGAATAATATTTATTTAAGTGGAAGCCGTCTTTGATTCTTTTTATTTTTAATCCGTACTCTTGACAGATACTTTGTAGAAACGATAAACGAATCTCTATATCTTATAAGTAGACGGCAGATTTGCATGTAATTGTAAAACATATCTTAAAACAGGAACGAATCATTGCATTCGCGTAAAATCATGAATAAAACTTCGATTTCTCGTGTAAAAAACATGGAAAGAAATTAAAAATTTTGGCATCAAAATCTACTGTGAAGGTAGAGGAAACCATGCCATTTAAATCCCTTTTTGTTTTATCCCGATATCTCAATCCGTTTCCGAGATATAAGGATTCAAAGTTTGCATAGCGCTTGACATAGGCGCAGATATTATGAATGAGTCCATGACCTACCTTTTTTTCCTAGAAACGCGTACTACGTTTTTCCAAGAATCGCGTCTGTCGCTTGTCTGCAATTTGGGATAGGTCAGCGAGACGAGCGCGAGAGAGAGGTCCGAGTAAAAGACAAAGATGGCGATAATAAGCGATTAAAAATTACCTTTTTCTTTACACGACGATATCTCGGGAACCGGAAGTCGTATCGAGATAAATGAAAAAGCGTTTTAAAGGGCAAGGTCTCGCGCTTCTAACGATCGCTTACTCGTTAACCGGAAGTCATTATCTTCGGAGTTATAACGGTTCAAAGTTTTCCTAATTTTAATAGAGTTAAATTCGGTTTAACGTAAACGATTAAAAATTATTCTTTTCTTTACACGATGATATCTCGGAAACCGGAAATC